GGGCAGGAGAACATCCTTTACTCAGGTAGAGAGCAGGAGAACATCCTTTACTCAGGTAGAGAGAGCAGGAGAACATCCTTTACTCAGGTAGAGAGAGCAGGAGAACATCCTTTACTCAGGTAGAGAGCAGGAGAACATCCTTTACTCAGGTAGAGAGCAGGAGAACATCCTTTACTCAGGTAGACTATTTATACAGCACTTTTCACACAACACATGAAGCTCAAAGTGCTTTACAAAATGACACCAAGTTAAAAATAAACAAGAAATTCCCCTCAGATTATTTGTTAAGAACTTTAAAGGTGCATGCAGCAACATGTAACATGTGATCAGGTTAATAGACACAAGGAGGTGAAAGGTATGGTGATACAAATACGATAAATAATGATTTAAAGTGAAGTACATTATGAAGGTGAGACAGCACTTACTCTCTGGAGTGTGTGTGTGTGTGTGTGTGTGTGTGTGTGTGTGTGTGTGTGTGTGTGTGTGTGTGTGTGTGTGTGTGTGTGTGTGTGAGTCCACAGCGGCGACGGGGCATGCAACAGAAGAACACACTCCGTTAGTCCTGCAGGTAATCAGTGCTTCATTCTGATTGGTTGAGGAGGATCTCACCTTGCTGTGAGGGTCTGCAAACATCCTGGTGAAGATCTCACAAAGTCTCTTCAGCTCCACCCGGCTGACGGAGGAGACGAGGCAGATTCAAGATGAGATGGGATTCACACAAGGTCAACATTTGTGTTTTACACCATGACATCAAGTCAAATTCCTCGTACGAGGAATTTGACTTGATGTCATGGTGTAAAACACAATACCTGGAGATAAACCTGATTCTGATTCTGAGCGTCCTCTGGCTGCATTATGTGTGATTCCTTGTGATATTTACAGGTGTTACTGTACGGTACTCTCACCTGAGCGTCCTCTGTCCTCTCAGGAGGTTCTGCAGGCCCAGCAGCCCCTCCTTCCTCTCGGTCCAGTTGGCGCTGGCGCAGTGGTTCAGGATCTCCGCCACGTCCTCCGTCTGCCTCAGGAAGCTCTGCGATCCGTTCCTGGAGCTGAAGGAGCGGTCGGAGGACGCGTCGCTGTTAGCGTCGTCGTCAGAGTAGATCCCCGGGGACTCGAACCGTCTCCGGACCGGACGACGCTGAGGGGGAGGGGGAGGGGGAGGGGGAGGGGGAAGGGTTACAGACATCAAAGTGGAGAAAAGTGCAGACAGATGCTCTAGATCTCATGAGAGGGGAACAGCATGCAGCTACTGACTCACGCAGCTACTGACTCACGCAGCTACTGACTCACGCAGCTACTGACTCACGTAGCTACTGACTCACGCAGCTACTGACTCACGCAGCTACTGACTCACGCAGCTACTGACTCACGCAGCTACTGACTCACTACTGACTCACGCAGCTACTGACTCATGCAGCTACTGACTGAACTCATGCAGCTACTGACTCACGCAGCTACTGACTCACGCAGCTACTGACTCACGCAGCTACTGACTGAACTCATGCAGCTACTGACTCACGCAGCTACTGACTCACGCAGCTACAGACTCATGCAGCTACAGACTCATGCAGCTACTGACTCATGCAGCTACAGACTCATGCAGCTACAGACTCATGCAGCTACTGACTCACTACTGACTCACGCAGCTACTGACTCATGCAGCTACTGACTGAACTCATGCAGCTACTGACTCACGCAGCTACTGACTCACGCAGCTACTGACTCACGCAGCTACTGACTGAACTCATGCAGCTACTGACTCACGCAGCTACTGACTGAACTCATGCAGCTACAGACTGAACTCATGCAGCTACTGACTCATGCAGCTACAGACTGAACTCATGCAGCTACAGACTCATGCAGCTACAGACTGAACTCATGCAGCTACAGACTCATGCAGCTACTGACTGAACTCATGCAGCTACAGACTCATGCAGCTACTGACGCATGCAGCTACTGACTGAACTCATGCAGCTACTGACTGAACTCATGCAGCTACTGACTGAACTCATGCAGCTACTGACTGAACTCATGCAGCTACTGACTGAACTCATGCAGCTACTGACTGAACTCATGCAGCTACTGACTGAACTCATGCAGCTACTGACTCATGCAGCTACAGACTGAACTCATGCAGCTACTGACTCATGCAGCTACAGACTGAACTCATGCAGCTACAGACTGAACTCATGCAGCTACTTCTACAGAAACACTTCCAACAGAAACTCAGAGGAGGGATTCTGCAGCAGCACTGGCTCCCAGCATGCACCTCTTCATGCATGTTTACTTAAAGGTTCTCTGCATGCAGACAGGAGAGGACGGGGTTTATCTGTACCTTATTCCTGGAGTCTCCTAACAGCTGAGTGTTCAGAGGAGAGAGGACAGAGTGTTACTGCAGCACTCTTTACATATTACTCTTTATTTCTGATTAAAGGAGATCTGGGGCTCTAACCCGTTGAGAACACAAACAGTGGATCATTGTTGGGTTTCAAATGTTGGTTATTGTCTGAACATAAGAAACGATATAGAGAATATGATAAGAACCAAGCATAACACTACTTTTATGGTATTTCTAAGCCATTTATGTATATTTAAGTCGTTTCTGTTACTTGTACTTTACTCAGTATAGAGTACTTTATTTACATGCCAAACTTCTACTCCGCTAAAACTAAGAGAAATTGTAAGAAAATTGTACTTTTTACTGTACAAATTAAAAACTGAAATTAGTTAATATTCTATTGAAGAATTAATTAAGCAAAAAGCAACAATAAACATTTTAGTAATTTTTCTCATATGTCTATTTTTTATTTTAGATTTTTCTGCATTAGATATTTTATTTCACACACAGAGACAGTCACACACACAGACATATAGACATATACACACACACACACACACACTCACAGAAAACCTTTTGAATTCATTGAGTTGTTTTTTCTTCTGAATTGTAGAAATCCTTGGTGTTTCAATACCTCACTCGCTCACTCGCTCACTCACTCTAGATGTTCAGATGTTTTTAAATATCTATATTTCTCAGATGTTACCAGAGCGTCGGCGACGGCCTCCTCCACCTCGCTGCCGGTGTTCAGGACCTTCATGGCGTTAACGGACGCCGACATCCGAGCCTGATGGGCGAGCCGGTCTGAGGAGGAAAAGGTCATCAATAATATTTTAAATAAATCCTCTGAGCATTTACAACATTAAAAAAACATGTGTAGCAAAGAAAGCTCAAATGCACGGTATGAATAACCAAAAGACAACGGAAAGAATATTCTGGGGACAAAACGGAGCAGAGAGCAGCCAGGGAGGTTTAAAATAAATACAAATATACATGAGGTACAACAACAAAGGTGCATCGCATTGCACAGAAACAAATATGCAAAAAAAAGCCCTTCAAAATAAAAACCTTGCAAAAATAAAAACTCTGCAAATTCAACATATGGCAAAAATAATAGCCCTTCAAAAATAAAAGTTGTGCTAAATAAGTCCCTTTCAAAATAAAGGTCCTTCAAAATAAAAGCCCTTCAAAATGAAAGTTGTGCAAAATAAAAGTCCTGCAAAAATAAAAGCCCTAGAAAATAAAAACCTTTCAAAATAAAAGCCCTGCAAAATAAAAGTTGTGCAAAGTAAAAGCCTTTCAAAATAAAAGCCCTGCCAAATAAATTCCTGCAAATTAAAAACCTTGCAAAAATAAAAGCCTTGCAAGTTAAAAGCCCTTCAAAATAAAAGTTGTGCAAAATAAAAGCCCTTCAAAATAATATAATCCTGATCAAATAAAAGCATTGGCTGATGATAATGTCCCCCTCTCAGAGCTGGATGGATTAGGACCATGCAGAGGAACTCTGTCAGACAGACAGGTTTCATTACGCAGAATTACAGGCTGTAAATATATATTATATTTCAATCTGTCTGAGTCATGTGCTCCTGAAGCCTCGTCACCTGAGTATCCCTCCGCAGAGGAAAGAGCGCTGGTGGAGCGGGAGTGACGTCGAGTCGCTGCAGGAAGTTACAGAACACACACAGAGGACACACACACAACACACACCTGCCTTATTATCATCAGAGGTGTTAAAGGAACACACACCTGCCTTATTATCATCAGAGGTGTGAGAATAAAGACTGATCAGCTGACAGATACAGAGCATGCAGAGAATCAGAGGGAAGAACAGGATAAAGGCCGTCACAATAACTATAATACTGTTTTTCATCAATATATCACACGTCTCAGATATATACAAAACATGTCTCTGATTGGCTTTCACACCAACGCGGTTCCCGTTCTAGCTCCGTGCTAGAGCTTTTCTGGTTCGGAACCGGTTTTTATTTTCAGCCCCCGTTTTGTTCACACCGCCCAGAGCCTGACTGGTGCTGCCGCTGCTGCGTCACGACGTCACCGTCGCTTACTGCGCTCACTACAATAATAATGGGGGACTGCGTCGGGTCGATGATCGTGTTTCTTTTAATCATACGATTAAATTAAATAACAACTTCTCATTTATTTCATTTTTTTTCATTCAATCGTTTATTTGAATCGGGACAGTGCACATTGATGAACACTTTAAAACAAAATAATGCTTACAAGTGTAAATGAGCCGGATTTTAGCTTTGAGCTAATTTCCATCCGTAGTCCCGTCACATACAACATATAAGAACATGACATTTATATACATAGCAAAAATAAATACATGATATGCAGGAAGAGCAGTCCATGTAAACATTTATAAAAAAAACACATACTTTTAAAAGACTTTAAATGGTCAAAACTTAAGAAATGGTGTTTCTCAAGGATGGTGCAGTGGTGGTATGAATTGGGCTTTCTGTCAAACACCTTGAGCTCTCTCTCTCAGCTGTTCTATGGGTTTCAGGTTTGAGGCACAAGCAAACGACCAGTTTGTCAAACAGTATTCAATGTGGGATAGAATCATACAGAGGAGGTATGACTTTGCAGCATTGACAGTTAAGAAAGGTCTCATTTATTTAACATTTTGCAAGTTTAATTTAATGGTATTGGAAACTTTCTTGATATGTTTCTTAACCTCTTAAGCCCTGAGCCTGTTTTTCAGGTCTCAGGCTCGAAAATGACATTCCCAGAACAAATGACCATATCTTCCCTTCTAAAAGGGTTAAATTAATAATCTTTTTTCTCAAAGTAATGATAAACCTGTGAGTTGGATGTAGAAAAGTCAGAACAATATAGATGTTTTTTTATTTTAAAGAAAATTCAGATCGAACATAGTAAAAAACTGTAAATTATGCTAATAATGTGCTAATAACAACAGCGTCGGTACCGGTGCGCCCTCTCTCTCTCTCTCTCTCTCTCTCGCTCCCACAGGGCAAATGAAAAGTGTAACCGGGGTGAAAAGGGTGTTAAATTTACTTAATTATGAATATTGTTACATCAAGGCCAAAAATTAGGATGAGCGCCAACAGTCAAAAATGTTTTTCCCCTCCCAGAGCTACTAGCGCAGCGCCCCCCAGATCTGGCGCCCTAGGTGACCGCCTATGTCGCCTATGCCAAAAATCGGCCCTGCCAGTACATACAGTGTATATAAGGGGAAACACTGAATACAAAACAAAACGTCTGCCTGCTCTCCACAATGATCAATAACAGCGAACGGATGGTCAAAGTAAGGTACAAATAAACAGAATCACACGAAGCCTGGTTAGTGTTGCCTGACTTTATAAAGTGTGTGGTTGCGTTCTGCTCACTTTGCTCAGCACTACTGCTTGTTACAACTTTGCCGTACTCTCCTTTAACGTTAGCTCAGGTTAATCTCGCCCCCCGCCGACGTAAGCGTGACGTAAGCGGTTCTTGCTTCTGGACCGACAATTTTTTGGTGCTTGAAACGAACTGGATTCCGGAGCTTAGAGGCGGCTCCGCTGCGGTGTGAACAGGACAAACCGGTGCTTTTCAGGATCCAGCTCCGAACCGGCCCTGGAACCGCGTTGGTGTGAAAGCCCTCATTTTCAGACAGGTTTTTATAGAAATGGATCAAAAAGAGAGAGAATCTTTGTTCCTGAAACTTTCAGAGTCTCTTTACACAGAGGGGACACATGTTGATGAAGAAGAGACATGAAGAAGAGGGGACACATGTTGATGAAGAAGAGACATGAAGAAGAGGGGACACATGTTGATGTAGAAGAGACATGAAGAAGAGGGGACACATGTTGATGTAGAAGAGACATGAAGAAGAGGGGACACATGTTGATGTAGAAGAGACATGAAGAAGAGGGGACACATGTTGATGAAGAAGAGACATGAAGAAGAGGGGACACATGTTGATGAAGAAGAGACATGAAGAAGATGATTTTGTACAATAGGTGACCTTTAATTAAACTTAAGTGGACGGACGCCAGTGGTGACAGAAGTCCCCGGGATCAGTGCTCTCCCTCCACGTTTTGGGAGGTTTTTAAGGGTCTTTTGGGGGGGGGGGTGCTTGGTACTCACCCAGGGGGGAGAACCCCCGGGCGGGGCTGGTGTCTCGGCTGGTCTCTCGGCTGCAGCCCTGACTCATGCTGGGTCGAGGGATCCTGCTCTGGGCTGGGGGGTTAGGGTGAGGGTGGGGGCAGAGAGACAGACAGGAAGCAGCGAGAGGGGAGCGTTTAGCCTGTAGCACATGCAGCCATACACACACACACACCTGCAGAGAGTTAGTGAAGAGAGTCTGCAGGTACAGGGGGGGGAAGAGGGTGGTGTTGTATAAAGGGGGCGGGGCATCTCTTTGGAGGTCAACCTTTAAAGCTCACTTCCTGTGACCTGCAGCTCTGATGAGACATTCTTCATGCGAGGACTTTTAAATCACAATATTTTGAGTAAATAGTTTAATAACTCCTATATTGTGGTTTTAATTTACATATTTAGTGCAATATTATGGTTTAAAAGCTGTTTTTAGGGACTTGTTTCCTGAGGGGAAATATAAAAATGTGAAAAAGTAAAACCTGGAGATATTAAATAATAAAAACACCCTTATATTCCAGATCACAGAGTGTTTCTCAGAGTGTTTCTGCTCACCTTTGGCGGCCCGGCTGGGGCTGGTCTCTCGGCTGCAGCCCTGGCTCCGGTGGCCTCGGGGTCGGAGGTCAATGAGGCCGGGGGGGATGCTGCCGGCGAGGGGGGGGCCAGCGTTCAGCCGAGAGGTCCGTGGGCCGTATGTGGAGCTCAGCAAACGCCCGGGAGAGCCTGACCTGCTGCCGGCTGAAACACAGAGACACATTTTAATAACAAAACAACTCTTTAAAGGTCATCTATTATCCTCCTCTTCAGCCTGTCTCTGATTGGCTGAAACACCAAACAGATCCTTGCAGCATCCCATAATCCCCTCTGTTTCAGCCCTGTTTCAAAGGTGCTGATTCTCTGTCTGTTACTTTAGATGAAAATAAGGAGCCCCTCCCCACGCCCCTCTGAGGAGCCCCCCCCCCCCCAGCAGTTTCACTTTGAGTTAGTGTGTTTTATTTCTTAGATAAGATAAGGAAACATGGAGATCTGCTCACGCTGAGAGTGGGATGAGATTTTCCCGCGGCTCCGCCCCCGGCTGTCCGTCACACAGGAAGCGTTCCCTGAGGTCATTTTCCGGGTCCGAACGCGACCTGACGGAGAAACACAAACAGGAAACAAATCAGCGTCTCTTTAAAACTAAAACACTGGACAGTTTCTACACACAGAGGGAAATGTGACGGACAGATATGAAACAGGGACTGGTATTTCTCTAAAACACCTCTACAAAACATCAGAGTGAACCGAAGAGGAAACACCATCTGTTCTAAAACCCACCAGCTGACACCAATGGAGCAAAAAAACCTTCTTGAAATCGACTTTAAAGTAGAAGAAAACATGTTTAAATGATCCTTTTGTTTCTACGGGACAGTACACCATGCACAGACACACAGTCCATGCTTTGACAGATGACATCACTGATGACATCACTACAGTACTGATGTGTGTGTGGTAAACACAGCTTACCGTCTGCACTCACAGACGAGCAGCCGTCTGACAGAGGAGAGACAACAGGGTCAACTTTACCTAAATGCTAAGCAAAATGTGTTCAAGCTAATTTCCTCTGCAGAGATAGCACAGTGTCTGTAGCCATAGTGTCTGTAGCCATAGTGTCTGTAGTCATAGTGTCTGTAGCCATAGTGTCTGTAGCCATAGTGTCTGTAGTCATAGTGACTCATAGTGTCTGTAGTCATAGTGTCTGTAGTCATAGTGTCTGTAGCCATAGTGTCTGTAGTCATAGTGACTGTAGTCATAGTGTCTGTAGTCATACTGTTTGTAGTCAGTTTGTAGTCATAGTGTCTGTAGTCATAGTGTCTGTAGTCATAGTGTCTGTAGTCATAGTGTCTGTAGTCATAGTGTCTGTAGTCATAGTGTCTGTAGTCAGTGTCTGTAGCCATAGTGTTCATACTGTTTGTAGTCATAGTGTCTGTAGTCTGTCTGTAGTCATACTGTTTGTAGTCATAGTATCTGTAGTCATACTGTTTGTAGTCAGTTTGTAGTCATAGTGTCTGTAGTCATAGTGTCTGTAGTCATAGTGTCTGTAGTCATACTGTTTGTAGTCATACTGTTTGTAGTCAGTTTGTAGTCATAGTGTCTGTAGTCATAGTGTCTGTAGCCATAGTGTCTGTAGCCATAGTGTTCATACTGTTTGTAGTCATAGTGTCTGTAGTCATAGTGTCTGTAGTCATCGTGTCTGTAGTCATAGTGTCTGTAGTCATACTGTTTGTAGTCATACTGTTTGTAGTCATAGTGTTTGTAGTCTGTCTGTAGTCATACTGTTTGTAGTCATAGTGACTGTAGTCATAGTATCTGTAGTCATACTGTTTGTAGTCATACTGTTTGTAGTCAGTTTGTAGTCATAGTGTCTGTAGTCATAGTGTCTGTAGTCATAGTGTCTGTAGTCATACTGTTTGTAGTCATACTGTTTGTAGTCAGTTTGTAGTCATAGTGTCTGTAGTCATAGTGTCTGTAGTCATAGTGTCTGTAGTCATAGTGTCTGTAGCCATAGTGTCTGTAGCCATAGTGTCTGTAGCCATAGTGTTCATACTGTTTGTAGTCATAGTGTCTGTAGTCATAGTGTCTGTAGTCATTGTGTCTGTAGTCATCGTGTCTGTAGTCATCGTGTTTGTAGTCATAGTGTTTGTAGTCATAGTGTCTGTAGTCATAGTGTCTGTAGTCTGTCTGTAGTCATACTGTTTGTAGTCATAGTGTTTGTAGTCATAGTGTTTGTAGTCATAGTGTCTGTAGTCATAGTGTCTGTAGTCATAGTGTTTGTAGTCATAGTGCCTGTAGTCATAGTGTCTGTAGTCATAGTGTTTGTAGTCATAGTGTCTGTAGTCATAGTGTCTGTAGTCATAGTGTTTGTAGTCATAGTGTTTGTAGTCATAGTGTCTGTAGTCATAGTGTTTGTAGTCATAGTGTCTGTAGTCATACTGTTTGTAGTCATAGTGTCTGTAGTCATAGTGTCTGTAGTCATAGTGTCTGTAGTCATAGTGTCTGTAGTCATACTGTTTGTAGTCAGTTTGTAGTCATAGTGTCTGTAGTCATAGTGTCTGTAGTCATAGTGTCTGTAGTCATAGTGTCTGTAGTCAGTGTCTGTAGCCATAGTGTTCATACTGTTTGTAGTCATAGTGTCTGTAGTCTGTCTGTAGTCATACTGTTTGTAGTCATAGTATCTGTAGTCATACTGTTTGTAGTCAGTTTGTAGTCATAGTGTCTGTAGTCATAGTGTCTGTAGTCATAGTGTCTGTAGTCATACTGTTTGTAGTCATACTGTTTGTAGTCAGTTTGTAGTCATAGTGTCTGTAGTCATAGTGTCTGTAGTCATACTGTTTGTAGTCATACTGTTTGTAGTCAGTTTGTAGTCATAGTGTCTGTAGTCATAGTGTCTGTAGTCATACTGTTTGTAGTCATACTGTTTGTAGTCAGTTTGTAGTCATAGTGTCTGTAGTCATAGTGTCTGTAGTCATAGTGTCTGTAGTCATAGTGTCTGTAGCCATAGTGTTCATACTGTTTGTAGTCATAGTGTCTGTAGTCATAGTGTCTGTAGTCATCGTGTCTGTAGTCATCGTGTCTGTAGTCATCGTGTTTGTAGTCATAGTGTTTGTAGTCATAGTGTCTGTAGTCATAGTGTCTGTAGTCTGTCTGTAGTCATAGTGTCTGTAGTCATAGTGTCTGTAGTCTGTCTGTAGTCATACTGTTTGTAGTCATAGTGTTTGTAGTCATAGTGTTTGTAGTCATAGTGTCTGTAGTCATAGTGTCTGTAGTCATAGTGTTTGTAGTCATAGTGCCTGTAGTCATAGTGTCTGTAGTCATAGTTAGTCATAGTGTTGTAGTCATAGTGTCTGTAGTCATAGTGTTTGTAGTCATAGTGTTTGTAGTCATAGTGTCTGTAGTCATAGTGTTTGTAGTCATAGTGTCTGTAGTCATACTGTTTGTAGTCATAGTGTCTGTAGTCATAGTGTCTGTAGTCATAGTGTCTGTAGTCATAGTGTCTGTAGTCATAGTGTCTGTAGTCATACTGTTTGTAGTCATAGTGTCTGTAGTCATAGTGTCTGTAGTAATAGTGTCTGTAGTCATACTGTTTGTAGTCATAGTGTCTGTAGTCATAGTGTCTGTAGTCATAGTGTCTGTAGTCATAGTGTCTGTAGTCATACTGTCTGTAGTCATAGTGTTTGTAGTCATAGTGCCTGTAGTCATAGTGTCTGTAGTCATAGTGTCTGTAGTCATACTGTCTGTAGTAATAGTGTTTGTAGTCATAGTGCCTGTAGTCATAGTGTCTGTAGTCATAGTGCCTGTAGTCATAGTGCCTGTAGTAATAGTGTTTGTAGTCATAGTGTCTGTAGTCATAGTGTCTGTAGTCATAGTGTTTGTAGTCATAGTGTTTGTAGTCATAGTGTCTGTAGTCATAGTGTTTGTAGTCATAGTGCCTGTAGTCAGTGTTTGTAGTCATAGTGCCTGTAGTCATAGTGTTTGTAGTCATAGTGCCTGTAGTCATAGTGTCTGTAGTCATAGTGCCTGTAGTCATAGTGTCTGTAGTCATAGTGTCTGTAGCCATAGTGTCTGTAGCCATAGTGTTCATACTGTCTGTAGTCATAGTGTTTGTAGTCATAGTGCCTGTAGTCATAGTGTCTGTAGTCATAGTGCCTGTAGTCATAGTGTCTGTAGTCATAGTGCCTGTAGTCATAGTGTCTGTAGTCATAGTGCCTGTAGTCATAGTGCCTGTAGTCATAGTGCCTGTAGTCATAGTGCCTGTAGTCATAGTGTTCATACTGTCTGTAGTCATACTGTTTGTAGTCTGTTTGTAGTCATAGTGTTTGTAGTCATAGTGTTCATACTGTCTGTAGTCATACTGTTTGTAGTCATACTGTCTGTAGTCATACTGTCTGTAGCCATAGTGTCTGTAGTCATACTGTTAGTAGTCATACTGTCTGTAGCCATAGTGTTCATACTGTTTGTAGTCATAGTGTTTGTAGCACAAGGGAAATGTAGTTTTTTCGTGGTGACTCTCACCCAGGGAGGCATAGGATCCGGGGGGGAGGGTGGAGGCGGAGCTAAAGGCTGCCGGCACGGCGGGCATCCTGCGGGCGGAGGACGAGGCGGCGTTCACATCCACATCACTGCGAGAGCGCTGGAGGGAGGGGGGAGGGGCGGGTACTGGAGGGCGACCGTGGGAGGCTTTGGCTGCAAGAGGGGGGAGAAAAGCAACATTTAGAGAGGGGTTTTATTCCCCAAATAAAATAATAATAATACATTTTTTTTAAACTGTAAATTTAGTAAAATAAAAAAAATAAAAATACAATAAAAAAATGTATAAAATAGTAAATAAAAAAATGATATAAATAAATAAACAAAGTGACTTACTTCTTGTTGAGCCGCTTCCAAACGTGTTTTTTACAGGCGGGGGTCGACTGTGGAGACAAAATGCATAAATAATAATAATAAAAAAGGATGGTTTAACCAAAGAGAGTTAGTATATCAGTAAATCCTGAGGGGGGGGGGGGGGGGGGGGGCTCACCTGAGGCTCTCCTGGGAGGAGGAGGAGGATCGGTCGCTGGCAGGAAGTGATGTCACGCTGTTCTCCCCCCCTCTCTGGTGCGCCTGCAGAGCTTTCTGATAGGACGCCTCCAGACTCTGGAACAACTGATCCGCCTCCCGCTTGAAGTGAGCCTGGTAACTCCAGTAGCACCTGCAGAGAAACATGTTAACGTCACGCTACTGTGTGCAGGCTTCCTGTTTAACATGTTAACGTCACGCTACTGTGTGCACACTTCCTGTTTAACATGTTAACGTCACGCTACTGTGTGCACGCTTCCTGTTTAACATGTTAACGTCACGCTACTGTGTGCAGGCTTCCTGTTTAACATGTTAACGTCACGCTACTGTGTGCAGGCTTCCTGTTTAACATGTTAACGTCACGCTACTGTGTGCAGGCTTCCTGTTTAACATGTTAACGTCACGCTACTGTGTGCAGGCTTCCTGTTTAACATGTTAACGTCACGCTACTGTGTGCACGCTTCCTGTTTAACATGTTAACGTCACGCTACCGTGTGCAGGCTTCCTGTTTAACATGTTAACGTCACGCTACTGTGTGCAGGCTTCCTGTTGGAGAGATATTATTTAAATTGCATTTGTAGTAACATGAGTCTTACTTTCTGGCCACGGATCGAGCCTCTGCGTCTGCATCGTGGATCCCTTTCTTTATCGTCTCCATTAAAACTGTCCCATGTCTGCAGAGAGGGGGATGAGAGGACAACAAACATGGAATAAAGTTGTTTATGTACAAAGTAAACAAATTGATATTATCTGAGATTAACAGGTTTTCTCTCGCAAATCTAAAACCTTATAATCCCACAGATTTCTTTATATTCCCTGGGATTATATATATAGATTATATTTTTTATAGTATATTTGTGATTAAATATCATAAATTCACCACTTTATCTAGTTTTTTAAGTAGTAAATTGCTTCACACCCTCACACACTCTCAGACACACACCCTCACACACTCTCAGACACACACTCTCACATATACTCTCAGACACACTCTGACAGCCTCACACACACTCTCACAGTCTCTCACACACACTAACACTCTCAGACACACTCTCACACTCGCTCAGAGTCTCTCATATACACACTCTCACTCTCTCTCCCACACACACTGTCACACACCCACACCCACACCCACACCCACACCCACACACACACACACACACACACACAGAAACTAGAGAGCTCCCTGGTGTCGGGGTGCAGACGAAGATCCGACCCGGTGTCATATTTCCTGATCGTGAAAGCATGTCGTACTTCACCATTATCTGCAAATACTGCATCTGTGCTCATCCCATAATATATAGATATGCATGATATAGAGTTTCCGTCACCTCTCCAGAGAGCTGCTCTGCCACTCCTGCAGCAGCTGCTCCAGGAACTCAAAGCAGCGCCTGCAACACAGAGGAGGACACATTAAGGATGTATTGCTTTCTATTTCATTCTTAAAAAAGTCTGAGTGTCTCACCGTCTGACAGCCACAGATTTGCATATACAGTTGCTGGTGATGACGGGGATGAGACGCGGGTAGTGTGTGTGCTGCAAAACACAAGAACCTGCAGTCAACACCCTGGTACGGCATTAACACACTTTAATATGAATGAATGAAGTAAAGCGTGCTCGCACTTTGAGGATGAGGCGGATGGCGGCCGTGCCGGAGGACGCCATGATCTTGGCGCTGTTGGAGACCAGAGTGACGAGGATGGGCATGATGGCCTCCGCAGCGTGATCGAAACGACTCCCGAGGACCAGAGACAGGTGGCTGAAACAAACACACACTCACCTTTATTCATCAGCAACTACATTTATATAGAACTACAAGACTATATAAATTAGGAAGTACAAGAACAGCCTAAAAAAGCAAAGACCCCAGCATGGTCTCCATTTGCTTCTCTTACCCCATGGTGAGGCAGGCCTCCCTCACCACCTGGGAGCGGAGGTCCTTGGCGGACAGTTTGAACGCCGCCTCCATCAGACGCAGCTGCTGAGGAAACACATCGAAGTCTGAAGCGCCGGCCAGAAGCAGCGAGCGAACCTTCTTCAGCTGAGGAGACACACAGAGAGGACCAGGACACATCAAGACCCCGAGAACCACATCAAGAGAGTGAGGAAACACATAGAGACAGAGACGTACCGCGGCCACCCGGAGCTCCCAGTCCTTCTTATCGTCAGACAGGACGTCCCGGATCTTCGTCATGTTCTCCTCCACCTCCCTGTTGGAGTGGATCTGCAGGAGGACAGGAGGAAGCACACTTTAAAGAAGCTATCCTGTGTAGTTGACTGTGTTTGCTGTTGGACCAAAGCCTCACCTGCACCGTGGGGACGTCCTCGAAGGCCTGGATGAAATCCTCGTCGTCCACCGCTCCAGCTGCAGAGCCGTCCCTCCCTGTTTTACACATTAACATTTACAGATGGGTTTATATTAAATCATTCAAATGTAAACCCAGACGGTGCGTCCATGTTTCCAAACGTCTCATTAGGTTACAAAGGACTTTCTTTTTTTAATTAATAGGCCTTTTCTCGTTCTTTCTGCACTTTCATTTCATGCCTTTTGTGCAGAGTTCATCCCACATAAAGATGCATAAATACAAATGCATGAATAGATCAAATAAAGTGTCAATAAATACAAATTCTAAACATAGAGATGAATACAAAAAGCCAAATTAAAAGAAAAGAAAAGTAGATTTAGTGAAATATAATAAATAGTAAACGCGCATGACTTAAGGTGAAAAACACAAAGCTGCTTCTTTTGTGCTACCTGCATATGTAAAGCCATTGAGCACCAAACATGAGATGAAAAGCAGATAAGGAGCGAGGAAGAGGACAGAATGACTTCCCCTCGTTGCCACAGCTTCAGAAAAGTTTTTAAAATATGCCGAGCATGTGGAAGTAACCCCCAAAACAAGCCCCTCCCCAACAGCATCAGATATATGTGGAGCCTCTGACCTGCAGACTTGCTGCTGGATCCGGTTCTCCTGAAGGAACCCATGCTCAGAGTCTTCTTCCCTCCTCTGGACGAGGAAGAGGAGCGGCCGCCGTCCCCCGAGTCATCGTCTTCGAAGGCTTTGTCTGGAGGAGGAAGAGCAGGTCGGGTCACATGGCTGAACAACGAGGGCTTCAGAGAGCCGAGGAGAAGCATCCGAACAATGTGCAGTCTCACATTCCTGGACGCACAGCTGACGGCTGTTCAGCTCAGAGTTTCAAAGTAAAGCTTCATAACGCACTTCTACATGCTTTTATTTTGAAAGATCTTTAAAAGGAGATGGGCTTTCCAGCATATGAGTCCGCCCAAGGGTTAGGGTTAGGAAAGGTCCGGCAAGTACAGGAACTACAAGAACTACAGAACTCTAATGTCGCAGTCGGTCTGAAAGGTCCCACATAAATAATACACAGAACAAAGAGAGAGGGAGAGTCTCCTGTGGGACGATCGAGCAGGCAATCAATCCTCTTCCATTACACACACACACACACACACACACACACACACACACACACACACACACACACACACACACACACACACACACACACACACACACACACACACACACACACACACACACACACACACACACACACACACACACACACACACACACACACACACCACACACACACACACACACACACACACACACACACACACACACACACACACACACACACACACACACACACACACACACACATCATGACTCAGGAGGGAGGGTTTCTCTCACAGCAAGGTCACCGTTCATCACTCTGACAGTCACGAGGTTTAACAACTCAAATAAACACACAATAACTTAAAGGTCACAATGTCTTTTATATTGACCTCTGAACCTCTGCTCTGGATCCTTCCCCTCACACGGGTTCAGGTTGAAGTGAACAGTCAAGAAATCTGTTTTTATGGGAAGATAACAGTCCTGTTCCATTTCCGCCTATGATCCATGTGTGTTTAGGTGTTAATATTACAAAGATGGTAAAAAGTGTAGATGTAATCTTTACTTCATTGTATGCTTTGCCTCTCTGTGAACACCCAGTCCTAATTTGATGACCTTCTGATCATTACTTCCAGAGATAGAGGGGTTAAGGCCAACTCGGCCCCCTTCAGAGGAGCCTACATTTTCACTATTTTCGGTTATAAAATCCCCCAAAAAATACTTTAGCAGGAAAGTATTTGTAAACAACTATCTGTTTCATAAACTAGACATATTAAAGTAATGAAAAACCTAGCTGTGCTTTGTCCTACCTCGGGGAGGGGTATCTGAAAGCCTTTTTTAAGGGGGGGGGTTGTTCCTCAATTTACTGTTTCACTCTCAGCTGTAGAGACACTTCTATCCACAAGAGGGCGCTGTTTCCCACTCGCGTTTATCCTTTTGATTAAAAATGTGAAATAAAAACCCATTTTCTGTCTGTAAAAAAATACATTTGGAGTTTTAATGTAATATATAGTTGTCCCTGCAGTGAGTGAGCATTGATCAACCCTTACAGAAGGATACTGGTGTGGTTTCCTGATGTGTAAATAAACCCTGTGGTGCAGAAAACCCTCTCTTAAGTCTCTGCAGGTGAATGTGTGGCGCAGGCGTGCAGAACTTATATGAAATACATCTAAACCTTTATATACACAGTCTATGGTCTAAACGCTTCTGAGAGGGTTTCTGTTTCTTCACGGCGCTCGTTATTCATTATTCATTTCTCTCCATCGGTGCAACCTAAGAGTCTCCGACCTGACAGCCCGAGTCAATCAAGTCAATTCGGGCTCTGAGAAACATTATGATATTTAATGAACCCAAAGTTAAGTAGGAGTAAGATGAATTGATTTATATTGAATAAGAGAAGCTATAATAGAACGGCCTCAAATAGCAGAAATATTGTTCAAACGCCTTCAGGCTTGCAGGAGCAAAGTATTTATAACTCAATGATCCCTTTGTTAGAGTCTCATCGCTGCAAGAGAGCAGTTTAAAACACATTTCATCGCTTATTAAAAAGGGTTGAATGTCTCTGCTTTTATCACTTTTATCTGTCGACTGCAAACGTGTGTCTGCGTGTGAAGAGAAGAGGCATCAGATCAACTTATAATGACCGTTAATGGAGATTTAGACTCTGATAACAAACACCTATCACGATGTAAACACCTGCAACACCAACGGGAACTATTCCTCAAACTATAACCACTATTTCTTCACCCAAAATACCTCAACGTTTGGACGTATTCAGCAGGATCTCACGCCTCAACGATCACCCAATTAAGAGCAATGATCTAAAAACACAGAGAGAGTTAACGAGACTTCCTGTTTGATACCTGCAGGCTTCACTCACCCAACGTTCCTGTGCCGATAAACAGAGTCCTGACACCCAGCATCGTCTTGTGACAACAGCTGACACCACTCCTACAAAATAAGACACCACTCCTACAAAATAAGACACCACTCCTACAAAATAAGAGCCCTGGGCTGCAGTGAAAAGCCTCTGTGTTTCCTTGATCTTTCTCCTCCTTACGCTTGATGCTCTCACCTGCTCAGGTGTACGCTGCACAATTAACCTCATATTCCCCTCAGTCACCATTTCTGCTTGTATCCAGTTGAATAAACATTGCATGCGATACCGTGGTTTAAAATGCATGCACCTATCATAGGAAACTCCAACACTAAAAGCCAGGCTTCAAAATAAAAGCTCCGTGTTTTATTTTGAAAACAGAAAAGGGGGATCTGGAGGCGTAGAAAAAGGGCGTATTGGATGAATGTTGACCAGGTGAAGCTCCTCCCTGCCGGTCAGATTATCTCTGAGATGAATCCATGTCGTCTCCTCCCAGGAGGGGGTCTTGTGTTTTGAGTTTTAATCCCTGAGGTAAAGCTGAGCCTCGTGACCAGTCCCAAAACCAGTAAGCTGCTTATATAACTGATCTGCAGGAATCTGAATCAGGTTGCATTTTAACTGAGGGACAGTGAACGCACCGCAGGAGTAACAGGTTTCACTGAAAGGTCTGTCGGCCTTTTTGACCCTTTCTGGTCACGCGCACACACGGTCACGCGCACACACACTGTCGGTCGCGCGCGCACACACGGTCGCACGCGCACACACGGTCACACACACGCACACACACACGGTCACACACACGCACACGCACACACACACACTCACACTCACACTCACACTCACCGGACAGAGGAGACACCATGTTCCCCGACCGCTGCACTTCATCAAATCTGCTGAAGATGACGTTCAGCCTGCAGAGAGGAGAGAGGGAGCACAGTGTTCAGAGCGGGGACAACACGCTGCCTTCAGGCGTCTGCAAACACAACAAACTGGGAACATCTCAGCATCCAGAAACACACCGGCAGCAAACACCATGAAGGAGCTTTTGTGTCAATGTGGATGAATAGAAAGTAAAGCTTTATGAGGCAAAGCTTTCATTCATATTCTGCTCAAAGCTGCTTCAAAAGTGGAGGACTTGCTGTTTTCTCTGTTTTAGATCCCTGTAAACGGAATATATCTGGGTCTGTAAAACACTGGAGACCTCCTCTTAAAAACAGACCTCATATGGTTTTATGAGCTTGATGACATGTGACCTGTCCGTCTGTGATTGGACGTATGAGAGGCTGTTATTTAGACGGGTGTTATCTCAGATCAAATGTACGGGAAAGAGACGTGAACATGTTCTCTTCAGTGGTTTAACGTCTTGGAGCTGATGGGATGCATTTGATCAGAGAGGGCAAAGTACACATCCTTTACTAAGTAGAAGTAAAGAACTTTGAAATGTACTTCAGTAAAAAGTACCCATAACTAGCAGCTGTTTTAAAGAGTACCTGACCTCCCTTTATATTAATAGAACAATAATGTCATTGTTAGCTAATGAATGTTTCCATGCTGAACAACGGCAACATGACAACGTTTCCATTGGTCCCTCTTCTTTAGAGAAGACCAGGAAATGATGGATACACGGATCGTGTTCAAATCAATAGGCACGCAATGACTCTAAAGAATAATGATCACGCCACCAAACACACATTCAAACTAAAGGAACCAGCCTGTTTGGGAAATGTGAGAAGTAGAAAGTACAGGTATTTGTGTTCAACATGTAAGAAGTAGAAAGTACAGGTATTTGTGTTCAACATGTAAGAAGTAGAAAGTACAGGTATTTGTGTTCAACATGTAAGAAGTAGAAAGTACAGGTATTTGGGTTCAACATGTAAGAAGTAGAAAGTACAGGTATTTGGGTTCAACATGTAAGAAGTAGAAAGTACAGGTATTTGTGTTCAACATGTGAGAAGTAGAAAGTACAGGTATTAGTGTTCAACATGTAAGAAGTAGAAAGTACAGGTATTTGTGTTCAACATGTAAGAAGTAGAAAGTACAGGTATTTGGGTTCAACATGTAAGAAGTAGAAAGTACAGGTATTTGTGTTCAAAATGTAAGAAGTCAAAGTAAAAAGTGGTCAGAAAAATAAGTAGTGGAGTAAAGTACTGATACCAGAAACATGTACTTAAGTACAGTAACAAAGTATTTGTACTTCTGCATTTGAACGCACCGTGACTGAGGCAGGCCTTTCTTCCCGAGGTCCATCCTCACTCGCTCTCCGACGTGTCGATAAATCTCGATCAGGCAGTTCATCGCTCCGTCGCGCACCTGCAGGACGACGGAAACACGGAAACACGTAAACACGTAAACACGTAAACACGTAAACACGGAAACACGTAAACACAGAGGAACAGATTTCTGAGAATAAATAACTGGGATGTTCTCTGGGATTAAAGCACAGGTAATGTCTCACACATTTAGGAGCAAAATGTGTCAAATATCCAAGAAATAACCGGGATAATGAAAATTAAGTTTATAGATCGATTAAATATAGGAGAAAAAAAACCTGAAAAATAAATAAATTCTCTGAGATTTGAGACAAAAATGTACGATAAAAACTGTTAAAAAAAGTGTTCAATTTAGTCGAAATGTCCCACAAATTTAATTTCTCAGACATGAAGTTTTGAGATCTAGCATAAAAACTGTGTGTGTGTGTGTGTGTGTGTGTGTGTGTGTGTGCGTGTGTGTGCGTGCGCGTGCGTGTGCGTGTGTGTACCTGGCTGGTGGGGTCTCCCAGCAGGTTGCAGATGTGAGGGACGATCTTACTCAGCGTCAGACTCTGGGATCCAAACCTGAACAAAACAGGAAGTATATGTGAATATCTTCACATCAAAACACCTCTCAGATCGTAGAGGTATCTCTGCTTTCTGCACAAACTGAATAAAACATCTTTTATTCCATATATTTATATAACATGATAGTACAGTATTTATTGTTAAAGCAGTAATGTGAAGAATGAATTAGCTCCAGCTTCTTAAAAGTGAAGATTTGCTGTTTTCTTACACGTTGAGGGTGGAGATGAGGCAGAGGCAGAGGCCCTCTCTGGTGCGGTTGTTCTTGTGTTTGAAGCCTCCCATCATGCGCTCCCAAACAAACTGAGAACAGGGAACACAGGTTATAGTCCGTCAGTGTTAGAGAAACATCCCTGGTCCCCGGCTTGAGCTTCAATCTCAGGATCCATGTATCTGTGATCCTCTCCAGAATGGAAGTAGTCATCACATACAGAGCATCAACTAGTTCCTGAACAGTGTCCTTCACATGCTGATATCCAAGAGAGGGAGTTACACAGTCACAAGATGGAGGAATAGAAAGCAGTATTCAATGTTTACTTCAGATTAGCTCCACGTCAGAAATGAGCATGCTTGTCATATGTCTATCTCCATAGAGGCTGAATCATCATGTTAATCACATAGCTATCATATGCCTCAAACAGTCCTGATGCTCTTCTAGGTAATCAGACATCCTGTCATGTTCACAGCTACAGCTGGGATACCTTTGTTATCATGGTACTCTCATGTTGGAAGAGGACATTCACTGTTTTCCCAACAGTTAGTATAAAAGCTTCTGTGTGTGCAGCAGGTAGATCTTCTCACCTGAGGGTTGGCAGCCTGGTCCATGATCTTCAGCAGCAGCGCCTGGTCCTGCTCCCTCACCTGATCTTTAGCGTCTCCTAGGCGGTCCATGAGGCTCGGCAGAACTGCAGACAAATACACAGATTTTAAGACAATTAAGAATAGATAGATAGATAGATAGATAGATAGATAAATAATGTCTAAGGTGCAGCTCACCTGTGCCGACCTGCGTCCTGAACCTCTCCTGCAGTCTGCTGACCAGCGCCGACAGGATGTCCATCCCCAGCAGAACCACCTGGCACACAAACACCAACAACAACAAGACAAACACCAACAACAATAAGAGAAACACCAATAACAATAAGAGAAATTACACAAACATGCTGATAAAATGCATCCAAATGAAACATAGACAGCACAAAACGGTATATATGGTAATATACACAATTTATTATTACATTATATTTCATTTTTTTCCTAAAATAATTGCATCTATTTATTTAATTGTTTTATTTTAATTTGTGTTTGTATAAACATTTATTATATTTTCTATATGCCACATTTTAACCTAAGCTTGTTATGTTTAATATAAAACATTTTATTCTATTTTATTTTATTAGTTATATTTAATTTCACTCCTAAATGCATCACCTGTCTCAAATCCAAACTGAGTATTCAGATTCTGAAAGAAGACCAATGGATTTGAATGGGGACCTGCAAAGCATCATGGGTAATGAGTCTAAACCAAGATAATACGTTAAAAAAACTACAAAATAATCAGAATTCACAGGTTTTTTGATACAACCCCAACATATAAGCATGTGATCTTTCATTCTATGAAGTAACATTTTTTGTAATCTTACACCATGAGTGAAGGTGGTGTTAACATTTAATAAACAGCTTCGAATCACCACGGCATCAACTTTCCTTGTCCTGGGGTGGTATGGGAGGCTCAATGAACGTATAGTGAGAGCCTCCCTGCTTACACCATATCAACACTCTCGCATCACCTGGGCTTCATGCTCGGGCTATGGTGCAATTTTTGGAACATCTCTAAATCAAACAGAGATACGGAGTTGTATAATAACATGTATTTATTACTATGGCGCCCTCTGCTGGCCACTGAGCGGTATTACATCAACAGGCTGTTATTGACCATACGTTTTCAAAAAGAGGGTAAAAGTTGTGTTCATAATTAGGATAAAAGTTGCCTTGAAGGGTGTAATATGATTATTAATACTGGATGCTTTATGAATGGTCGACCAGGGCGGAGGTGGCAACTTGGGCTGTGAGTCGTAGGGTCTCTACTCCACTACATTTAAAAAGGGAAGGGAGTTAATAGATGTTTACTAAACTATAGTTCCCTTTTAGACTGAGATTCGTGCATTAAAAGGAGGAAATAAACATGCATAATTTGTCCATAACAGTAAAATGCAACTGGACAACAACAACTTTTGGAGGCCATATTTCTGCAGAACGAGTACTTTTACTTAAGTACATTTTATTGATAATACTTCTGTACCTATAGGTAAAGGATCTGAATTATTCTTCCACCATGCATACTACAAACCTACTACTCACATCTCACCATAACATACCACATTTCTCTGCAGGTAAATCAGTAATTAAAATAAGATGAATGTCCCTTTCAGTCCCTCTTAGTGTAGTGATTGATCACAGACATTTAAAACGTCATTTAAAAAGGAGAATACACGGTTTGGACAACGCCATGAAACTGCATTTATCAATAGCTGATAAATAACGCCTGTCTGCTCGCTGCCCTCGATCAATAACAAGACACACACACACACACACACACACACACACAGATCTGAAGGTTTTACTACCACACTGAAACTGGGCTAATGGTGCGGGTAAATTAAGCCGCTGACACCCTCGCCTGGGAGCCTCGGCCCCATTACACCACAGGAAGTATGTGTGTGTGCGTGCGTGTGTGTGTAGTTCTCAGCTTAATATTTACTACAAAATGCATTAGATTTCTCCACATGGCACTATTTTAATTGATATACATGCTTGCTATGGGCTGCAACTTCTTATGTTTTTCATATTTGATCAACCCTTTAATCCATATTTGACATTAGCATGACGTCCCTAAGAGTTGCAGTTGGTACTTTATCCATCATTTCTCTAAGATAAGTGAAATAGGAAGTGATTTAATTTGGATAAAATGCGACTAATAGCAAGTTAAAGTGATTACAAGTACATTGCACATCCTGCAGTCTGCTGACAGACATGCAGAATATATATAATATATATACAGGCTCCTACTTATATATAATATATATACAGTATACATATATTATTTACGGGCAGATATAGGTTATTCTCTCAGCATAAAGGACTCCCTGAGGACACTTTGTCCCTGAGGACACTTTGTCCCTGAGGACACTTTGTCCCCGACACATGCAGGAATCAGTGCTTTAACCCTTTAATATCCGTCCTGCACAACATCCCATTATCACATTGCATAATAAACCTTTTTATTAGTTTGATGTCTTATATCTAAAATGAAGTGAGGTTTTGTTGAGGCTGAACTGGAATCTCCTACATCAAAAAGTCACTTGAACGCCTCACAGTTATTTTAGTTGGCGGGGGCCCAACAGATACTGCTAGCCTTTTGTTGAAAGACAACACATCTGATTGGTAATAAGTATTAGTGACAGGTTCATCAGCCAATCAGATGTTGATGTTCAATGACAGCGTCCTGAGCTAAACTTCTGTCATGAACTTCCTTCGTAGCATCGGCTTTATTTACAAGTGACGGGTGAGCACGTTACCATTCGCCTCATTTTAGAGCGACGTGAGAGTGCACGATGACACAAGTTTAATAATAGATTACTTCATTGATCAATGTTGGGACATGTCGTCTGCTTTTAACCCTTATCTAGCTGACTGTTGTGATTGTTGATCAGCTGTTGTGATTGTTGATCAGCTGTTGTGATTGTCGACCAGCTGTCGTATTGTTGAGAGACGTTTTGGCATAATGTGCGCATCATTTGATTATGTCTGCGTTGGCTGGAACAGAGACGTGTAAAGTGTGTGTGTATCTTTCTGTACGTGGCCCTCGTGGACACAGTCTGGACCCCAGCTCCACGTATATCTTTCTGTACGTGGCCCTCGTGGACACAGTCTGGACCCCAGCTCTACGTATATCTTTCTGTACGTGGCCCTCGTGGACACAGTCTGGACCCCAGCTCTACGTATATCTTTCTGTACGTGGCCCTCGTGGACACAGTCTGGACCCCAGCTCTACGTATATCTTTCTGTACGTGGCCCTCGTGGACACAGTCTGGACCCCAGCTCCACGTATATCTTTCTGTACGTGGCCCTCGTGGAAACAGTCTGGACCCCAGCTCTACGTATATCTTTCTGTACGTGGCCCTCGTGGACACAGTCTGGACCCCAGCTCTACATATATCTTTCTGTACGTGGCCCTCGTGGAAACAGTCTGGACCCCAGCTCCACGTATATCTTTCTGTACGTGGTCCTCGTGGACACAGTCTGGACCCCAGCTCTACATATATCTTTCTGTACGTGGCCCTTGTGGACACAGTCTGGACCCCAGCTCCACGTATATCTTTCTGTACGTGGCCCTTGTGGACACAGTCTGGACCCCAGCTCTACGTATATCTTTCTGTACGTGGTCCTCGGTGAACACAGTCTGGACCCCTGATCTACGTCACCTTGAAGTTGCTGGAGTTGACCCAGGAGCTGGCCACAGCGTCCACCACGCGGTCCACCAGGCTCTGGTCCTGCTCCAGGTCGGGGCTCCTCTGCTCCGACAGGATGACCTCTGTGACCTCGGGGCCGACCTTGATCCTGACCCCCAGGTCCTTCTGCAGCACCTGCTCGAGCAGAGCCTCCATCTGCACCTCCTCCGTCATCTCTCTGAGGAACATACAATACAGCTTCATTTAAAAAGCACTTTAAAACCTCCAGACCGAGGGTCTCATGTCTGACCGAGGGTCTCATGTCTGACCGAGGGTCTCATGTCTGACCGAGGGTCTCATGTCTGACCCCAGTCTGTGTGAGCTTTGCTGGAGCTCATTAGAATAAGATGCCAGCAGATCCACCGCTGTGCTCTCTATTGACTCATGTGTATTTCAGCATGTATTTAGCAGGGGACTCTCACATTTTGCAGGTCCTGGATCAGCTGCAGATCTTCACTCTTCGCTCGTCATCCTCCTGCGTTCAACAGGAAACAGGTGAAGAGTTTAACAGGTGACTTTAAAATAACTCTGAGACGTGTAGCTCAGCAGAAAGACAGTACGACCCTGATTTATTAAACAACATGCTGTGTTTCTTTTAATTCATGTGTTTCACAGCATTTATAAACTATAATACTGTAGGAGGACACATGTTTTATCATGGGTCTGAACTTAAAAACATCTTATTGTTATGTATGTTCTCTTGTGTATTTGATATAGAGGTAATCCTAGAGAGTAATCAGAGTATTCAGGGTTTTTTGGGTAGTTTTTCTTACTTTTTCTCTTCTTTCCCTGCGTTTCAGTTAATGCACCACACACCCAGCTATACGCCTGCTCTGTGAACCTACCTGTGTCTGATGCTCTGATTTTAATGTGAAAACCCTTCATGTAGCAGCTTTAGCTTCCTCTGCTAGCTCCCCGTTAGCCAGCCTCCAATGAAAATACAGAGTGTGATCACAGTGATAGCCGCCGCCATCATCAGAGAGCAGCACCGCCACAATGTAACCAATCAGCAGCCGTTCCTATCACTCATGAGTCATTGATCCAGAGAGCCACTCACCGGATGATCCCAGGAAAATATCCGAAAAGGAGACGCTTCCTCCGGCCACAAAGTACCGTTACTCGCCGGCAATAACTCACTTTCTTCAGGGCACTTTGAGCCACTTTTACTCCTCCGCACGTGCTGGAAGAACCCCAAACATCCAGCGAGTGGTCACGCGGTATTCTTGGTGGTTTAAGAGGTTAAAAAGGCCCTTTATTTCCCTGATAAATCCCAGCATGTCGGTGGATAAACTGCAGTGAGTGACGCCGCAGAAAAGCGACCCCTGGCTGCAGCGCTGCGCTACTGCACCCGCTGCAAAATACCCTTTCTTCTTCTGTGCTTTACTCACTAACTCTGGGTGTGCATAGCGCCCCCTGTGGTTGGAGGGTGTAGAGTCATGGTTTTATTTTAAATAAATACTTAATTTTCAACATTAGATATGTTACACAGGTCCAGTTTAGTAACTCATACATTAAAAGTAAATGATGTTATAGCAGATTAGTGATGCCAAACGGCCCAGATATCTGTCTATTTCCTTGCAAATTTGATATTCAAGAGAATAAATCATTAAAAAGAACAAATAACACATTTTAATAGACTTATAGTCACATATATTATGTCACAAGTCTCTTTATTGTCATTTCATGTCTTTTACAGGTCCTAATGTGTCTCTTTAAGGTTATTTGTGTACTTTTTAAGTCACTACAGTATATGTGTCTATAATGTACTTTAAGTTTCTTTTGTCTGTATAATATGTCATTTTGAGGCAAGGCCGTATTCATGGGGTCAACATTGGGGGGGGACCAAAAATTCAATCACTATTTGAATACTAATTTCCTGCCATTCTAAAGGAAAATATATAAAAATTCACTAACACATGGGATACTTTAAAACCTGTTAAACCCCATGCCCCTGCCCGTGGGGGCAAACAACAACAATATTCACGAAACTCTAGCCTCATCCCAATACCCCTCCTCGACTCCTCTCTTCCCCTCCTCCGGGACTTGACCCGGAAATCGATCAAGACACGCCATGTTGAAGGACGTCCCAATAGCTGAAATGCACACGGAGGAGTCGAGGAGGGGTGAGGGAGGAGGGGTGCGGGAGGAGACGAAAGGGAGGATACACGAGAGCAGACTACGCGGAAGTGTTTTCACTACTTGCGTATATAAGCCCCGCCCCCACCTTCACAGCTGGTCCGTTTCAAGAGAGGAAAACGGAGAACTGGAAGAATGAGTGGGAAAGCGTCACATAAATGTCTAAGTGCTCACAGCTCCGTGGGAATTATTATGTGCAATTCATTTCTTAAGGTTATACTAACAATTGAAGTCATGTTTAATGATCTTGAACGTCACTAAAACATAGCTATTAAGAAAGCTAGATGGCTAGATCTTGATCAATAACAATTATTTGTTTTGTTTTTGTGTTAAGATATTCAGGAGTTAAATGATTTAAAATGCACAGTCCTGAATGTGGGTTTGTGGTGAATGTGGGGATCTACAGGACACACATGTTCAGAGTAAAGGCTTTCACATTACTATAATTATATTTGTATTGAAATGTACATTTTACACCAAAACGGAACACAAAAGCAGGACCAACCATCATACATTGAATTCCTTGACTAACAAGATAAAGATTCATTCATTTAAATACATATTTAACAACAAATGGGCCGGTTCTAAAGGTTCTAAAGGTTCTAAAGGTTATTCAGTTAAACCCGATGAGAGGGGATACAGCTGTGCACATCTCATCATTAACAGACGTCGTTTAAGAGTGACGTTTGAGTGAACGAGGACATCCCAATTAATACCTGAGGACTCCTCTGTCCTCGCGTCTCCTCCTCGTGTCTCTCGCTCGCATCTTACGGAGGCGGAGCTAAGACGCAAGGAAGGGACGCGAGTGAGGGAAAGGAGGAGTCGAGGAGGGGTATTGAGGGAAAGGAGGAGTCGAGGAGGGGTATTGAGACGAGGGTTGTGTCTCGGGCATGGGCGTAGGAAGCATCGTCACTGTGGGTGGGACAATTTGACGGGGGGTGTGTGCAGGTGGTGGACCTCACCTCCTTTAGGGGGGTCCGGGGGCATGCTCCCCCGGGAAGATTTCATTTTAAATGTTGAAGTTAAATGAACCAATCTGGAGCAACATGAGGGACTGAATCTATGGACACATCTCTCAACACCATATGAAACAGAACTGAACAGATTTACCTTTCAAACTGTAGTATGAGTTGGAATTATTTCATACGTGTTATTCTCTTATTTTGTATAACTATAATGATCATATAAAGGTGTGCCTTGGAAATACTTGTTTTGCATCAATCTTGATAGACGGTACTTATTATATGTTGTACTTTGGATTCCTAAAGCTTTTAGTCTCCTATCCCATCATTCAAGGTGGTTTTCACCATAAGTAAGTAATGGGTTATTACGGACACTATAATTTACTATGTTCAATCTGAATTTACTTTAAAAACATCTATATTGATTCTGAATGTTTCTACATCCAACTCACAGGTTTATCATTGCTTTGAGAATAAAGATTATAATTGACCCATTTTAGAAGAGAAGATATAGTCAACTGTTCTGGGAATGTCCTTTTCGAGCCTGAGACCTGAAAAACAGGCTTGGGTCTTAACTGGTTAAAATGTTTTACCATAATGTCTAAGTGTGCATTGTATTACATCGCCCTATTTGATCTAGTTTAGCTTTTCTTGTTTCGTTGTTTGTAGCAGAGATTAGGGATGAATAAAGTACAACTATAACCATAATCATATTAAAGCATTTCAATCCATAGAAAGGTCTGTGCCACGCAATGTCAGTAGAAACAGGAACACTTTATTGCCCTTTTGTTTTGTTGAAATACTATTTCATAATAATTGTAGAGTATTTATTTAATTAATTCTGGCACCTTTGGTATTCCAGATGTCACACATCACAGTTTTAAATCTTTCCACACTCTACAAATGACAAAATAAAATAGAAATAATCCACATGAATAAATATGTATTGGATTAAATCCAAAACGACACCGTCATTTTCCACATAGCTGACACTAGCCCGCCAAACCCTGGCTAGCAACTGAAGCCAGCTAGCCCACAGCTAGTTAGCTACTATTCCTGAAAAGTTCGGTTTTAACATCAGAACTACAAGTTACTTACACAAAGAAGCTAAACCGGAGGGTTCATTAACATTACCATTACCAAATAAAATAATATAGATTCCCCGGGTACAAAATAAAGGTATGCATAAACAAACAAGGCGGAACCAATTTACATATGAAAAGAATACATCATTATGGTGAAGTTCACAAAAAAATAGCCAAAATAAAAAAGTCATAGAATAGCAATTTTATTCTAATAAAAATAAAATATATTATATATTGTATATGGTGAATTCGGCCCTGTTTTGAGGTCATAATGAGTCTTTTTGGGTTTGTTTTCCATCTGTTCTTGGTCATTTAACGTCTTTTTAAGTCATTTGATGTACCTTTGCGGTAATGTTTGTACTTTTTAAGTCACTATGTGTGTCTTTGGTGTTGTTTAAGGTCCTTTTGTCTGTATAATATGTCTTTGAGAGGTCATAATGAGTGTTTTTAAGTCATTATATCTCTTTATGGGATTGTTTTCCATCTGTTTGTGGTCATTTATGTCATTTTAAGTCATTTTATGTACCTATGAGGTCATCATGAGTCTGTTTGGGGTCATTTTGTGTCTCTTTATGGTCATTTGTGTACTTTTTAGGTCACTAAGTGTGTCTTTACTGTTGCTTAAGGTCCTTTTGTCTGCATAATATGTCTTTCTGAGGACATCATGAGTCTGTTTGGGGTCCTGTTGAGTGTTTCTGATCATGTTGTGTGTCCTTGTGGCCCCTGGTGCATGCTGGGTAATGCGTGGGCGCTTCCCTGTCAGCTGCAGGTGCTTCTGCTGCTCTCTGAAACGTCTCACTCTCCTCCCCTGCAGCCGCGATGACAACAACGATCGTCCACTTCCTGGTGAACGGGAGGCCGGAGCGCGCCGAGTTCAGAGACGACTGCTCCGCCGCAGAGGTCAAAGGTGAGGCTGCTTTTAATGCAGATTTAAATGCATATGATCTGTATTCAAACATGCATTTAAATCACCTGTTAGAGGGGAACGAGCGTCATGTAGCTGTGGCCTCGAGAGGGTCTGCGCGTGACAGCTCCTCTTCAGATGAAGAACAGCTGAGAGAGACAGACAGGAGTTCCTTCTTTTAATCTGCACTATTACACAAAGTACAGTGTGTGTGTGTGTGTGTGTGTGTGTGTGTGTGTGTGTGTGTGTGTGTGTGTGTGTGTGTGTGTGTGTGTGTGTGTGTGTGTGTGTGTGTGTGTGTGTGAGAGATTAGAAATGACTTCATCTTTGTCTTTGTTTCCTCAGCGTTGTTCCGGGCGGCGGCCGAGGCGTCTCCTCGTCACGTCTTGAAGATGTTCGCCTCTGACGGACGCCGGATGAACATTTCGCCCAAAATGCAGGCCAACGACCCGGAGAGCGTGTACCGCCTGGAGCTGGTGGCTGCGGATCAGAGCCGTGAGTCACTGGGAGGAAAACCACCAGAAAACATCCCATAATATAAACTGGACATCACAGAATAACTTTTAAACGCCTCCATTGGACTCCTTTGTTTACTCCCAGAACATTGTGACATCACTATGGAAGACTAGCGCTCCTATTGGCTAGTGTGATATTAATTAGTGTGTTTCTGCAGGTGTGGGGATGTCACAGGAGCTGGACTCCATGGAGGACAGGTGTGTGTATCATGTGATTCATTCAAAGTGTGTGTGTGTGTGTGTGTGTGTGTGTGTGTGTGTGTGTGTGTGAGAGAAAGGACTCACCTTGTTTCCTGTGTGTGTGTGTGTGTGTGTGTGTGTGTGTGTGTGTGAGAAAGGACTCACCTTGTTCTGTGTGTGTGTGTGTGTGTGTGTGTGTGTGTGTGTGTGTGTGTAGGCTGCAGCATCTGGAGAGCAGAGTGATGGAGGAGGCGGGGGGGGAGCTCCTCTGTGATCTGAAGAAGCAGGTGGAGTCCTTCAAGGAGAAGCTGGAGGTCCGAAGCTTTTGATTTGATTTATTTCCAACGTGTAAAAACAATAATACAAAAAAAATGATAATGAAATGAAACAAGAGAATTATGAACATAAAATAATATATATTATTGACTTCCAAATTATATATAAACAAATGATCTACCTAATTAGACATCCGAAAAGCTCTCACACACACACACACACACACACACACACACACACACACACACACACACACACACACACACACACACAGGCTCACTTTGAGAGCTTGTAATCATCACAGTGTGTTTGCTGTGTGTGTCCTGCAGAGTGTGGAGCACCTGAGCTGGATGGGCCTCTTTAAGGAGCACGGACACCAGGAGCTCTCCCAGAAACCCAAAAGCCTGGAGCTGAGCGAGCTCGAGGAGCGGCTGCAGGTGCGCAGGAAGTACCTGAACATGAGGTGAGTCGTGCGGTTAATAGTATTTATTTAATTGCATGATGTGTGGCGTAGAAAAGCACATATTTGTGTCCCCTCTGTGTTGCCGTAGCTCGCTGCAGGTGACAGAAGAAGTGCGTGAGCATCTGAAAACTCCCATCTTTGACAACTGGTGAGTAAAAGTTGTGTTTTATCACCAGCTCCAATAAGGTTTTAGAGTTTACAGTGCCTTCTTGTGTCAACCAGAAGTATCGTGTGTCTAACTTGATTACACCGTTGCAGTTCCTGACTGTGGCCACAAGAGGGCGCCAGAGCTCCATCTCTGAACCATAGACTGCTTTGATAACTGACTTTGTTTCACCTTAGCTAGATAATTAAAAACGAACTGTGTGTGTGTGTGTGTGTGTGTGTGTGTGTGTGTGATCAGGCAGTGGGAGAAGGCTGAGATGCTGATGCTCCTGCAGGTGATGTTCACAGACCTTGACTTCCTGTCTGCGTTCCACATCAAGCTGGACGTCCTGCAGAACTTCCTGTTTGAGGTCTCCTGCCACTACAACAACATCCCCTTCCACAACTTCAGGCACTGCTTCTGCGTCACTCAGATGGTACACACCTTTATATATACAGTCTATGGTACACACACACACACCTGTCTGAAAACCATACAGATGGTACACACACACACACCTGTCTGAAAACCACACACACACACACACCTGTCTGAAAACCATACACACACACCTGTCTGAAAACCATACAGATGGTACACACACACACACCTGTCTGAAAACCACACACACACACACACACCTGTCTGAAAACCATACAGATGGTACACACACACACACACACCTGTCTCAAAGTCAGTCAGATGGCACACACACCTGTCTGACACATGAAGGTGTGTGTTCCTGCAGATGTATGGGCTCATCTGGCTGACTGACCTGCGGAGTAAATTCACGAGGATCGACCTGCTCATCATGCTGACCTCTGCGCTTTGTCACGACCTCGACCACCCCGGATACAACAACGTCTTCCAGGTGTGTGTGTGTGTGTTAGAAACCTCTCCCTTAATAATCCCTGGTCCCCAGCTTGAGCTTCAATCTCAGGATCCATGTATCTGTGATCCTCTCCAGAATGGAAGTAGTCATCACATACAGAGCATCAACTAGTTCCTGAACAGTGTCCTTCACATGCTGATATACAAGAGAGGGAGTTACACAGTCACAAGATGGAGGAATAGAAAGCAGTATTCAATGTTTACTTCAGATTAGCTCCACGTCAGAAATGAGCATGCTTGTCATATGTCTATCTCCATAGAGGCTGAATCATCATGTTAATCACATAGCTATCATATGCCTCAAACAGTCCTGATGCTCTTCTAGGTAATCAGACATCCTGTCATGTTCACAGCTACAGTTGGGATACCTTAGTTATCATGTTACTCTCATGTTGGAAGAGGAAGCAGTGTGTGTTATCAATCTGTTTTTAAAATGATTAAATCCCACAGATTAACGCTCAGACAGACTTGGCTCTGCTCTACAACGACATTTCCCCGCTGGAAAACCACCACTGTGCCGTCGCCTTCAGCATCATGGCCAAGGTACTCTTTAAAGTAGAGACACTACATACTGATATACACCTGAACATCAGCAGGAGAGGACTCTTTAAAATAGAGACACTACATACTGATATACACCTGAACATCATCAGGAGAGGACTCTTTAAAGTAGAGACACGACATACTGATATACACCTGAACATCAGCAGGAGAGGACTCTTTAAAGTAGAGACACTACATACTGATATACACCTGAACATCAGCAGGAGAGGACTCTTTAAAGTAGAGACACTACATACTGATATACACCTGAACATCAGCAGGAGAGGACTCTTTAAAGTAGAGACACTACATACTGATATACACCTGAACATCAGCAGGAGAGGACTCTTTAAAGTAGAGACACTACATACTAATATACACCTGAACATCAGCAGGAGAGGACTCTTTAAAGTAGAGACACTACATACTGATATACACCTGAACATCAGCAGGAGAGGACTCTTTAAAGTAGAGACACTACATACTGATATACACCTGAACATCAGCAGGAGAGGACTCTTTAAAGTAGAGACACTACATACTGATATACACCTGAACATCAGCAGGAGAGGACTCTTTAAAGTAGAGACACTACATACTGATATACACCTGAACATCAGCAGGAGAGGACTCTTTAAAGTAGAGACACTACATACTGATATACACCTGAACATCAGCAGGAGAGGACTCTTTAAAGTAGAGACACTACATACTGATATACACCTGAACATCAGCAGGAGAGGACTCTTTAAAGTAGAGACACTACATACTGATATACACCCGAACATCAGCAGGAGAGGACTCTTTAAAGTAGAGACACTACATACTGATATACACCTGAACATCAGCAGGAGAGGACTCTTTAAAGTAGAGACACTACATACTGATATACACCTGAACATCAGCAGGAGAGGACTCTTTAAAGGAGAGACACTACATACTGATATACACCTGAACATCAGCAGGAGAGGACTCTTTAAAGTAGAGACACTACATACTGATATACACCTGAACATCAGCAGGAGAGGACTCTTTAAAGTAGAGACACTACATACTGATATACACCTGAACATCAGCAGGAGAGGACTCTTTAAAGTAGAGACACTACACACTGATATACACCTGAACATCAGCAGAAGAGGACTCTTTAAAGTAGAGACACTACATACTGATATACACCTGAACATCAGCAGGAGAGGACTCTTTAAAGTAGAGACACTACATACTGATATACACCTGAACATCAGCAGGAGAGGACTCTTTAAAGTAGAGACACTACATACTGATATACACCTGAACATCAGCAGGAGAGGACTCTTTAAAGTAGAGACACTACATACTGATATACACCTGAACATCAGCAGGAGAGGACTCTTTAAAGTAGAGACACGACATACTGATATACACCTGAACATCAGCAGGAGAGGACTCTTTAAAGTAGAGACACTACATACTGATATACACCTGAACATCAGCAGGAGAGGACTCTTTAAAGTAGAGACACTACATACTGATTTAAATCCATGAGACACTTTTAAGATGTTTTAAAAAGTGACGTTGTGTTTTTCAGCCAGAGTGCAACATCCTGCAGAACCTGAGCAACGAGAACTACAAACTCATCCGAGGAGGCATGATCAGGTGAGGACTCGTCACCTCCTGTCCCCTTTTCACTTTGTAATATATAAATGATATATATTGATCTCTCTCAGATGTATTCTGGCCACCGACATGGTGAGACACAACGACATCCTGACTCAGTTCAGAAGTCTGCAGCCGGAGTTCGACTTCACCAACAAGGAGCACAAAGAAGTGGTAAAGATTCTCTCTTCTGTTCCAACGCCACGTAAAACACATCTCAGATCTCAGATCAGCTATTTCTGTTATTATAAGATAGAATGCACCATGCTGTGTTTTCTGCGTGCAGCTGATGAAGATCATGATGAAGGTGAGCGACATTTCCAACGAAGCCAGGCCAATGTCGGTGGCCGAGCCCTGGCTGGACTGTTTACTGCAGGAGTTCTTCAACCAGGTACAAGTACTCACATCACCAGAGAGGAGTACACACATCCTTTCCTCAAGTAGAAGTACAGATACTCGTGTTTAAAAATACTCTGGTGAAAGTAGAAGTACTGACTAAACTTCTTTACTCAAGTAAAAGTAAAGAACTTTGAAATGTACTTCAGTAAAAAGTACCCATAACTAGCAGCTGTTTTAAAGAGTACCTGACCTCCCTTTATATTAATAGAACAATAATGTTATTGTTAGCTAATGAATGTTTCCATGCTGAACAACGGCAACATGACAACGTTTTCATTGGTCCCTCTTCTTTAGAGAAGACCAGGAAATGATGGATACACGGATCGTGTTCAAATCAATAGGCACGCAATGACTCTAAAGAATAATGATCACGCCACCAAACACACATTCAAACTAAAGGAACCAGCCTGTTTGGGAAATGTGAGAAGTAGAAAGTACAGGTATTTGTGTTCAACATGTAAGAAGTAGAAAGTACAGGTATTTGAGTTCAACATGTGAGAAGTAGAAAGTACAGGTATTTGAGTTCAACATGTGAGAAGTAGAAAGTACAGGTATTTGTGTTCAACATGTAAGAAGTAGAAAGTACAGGTATTTGTGTTCAACATGTAAGAAGTAGAAAGTACAGGTATTTGTGTTCAACATGTAAGAAGTAGAAAGTACAGGTATTTGTGTTCAACATGTAAGAAGTAGAAAGTACAGGTATTTGAGTTCAACATGTAAGAAGTAGAAAGTACAGGTATTTGGGTTCAACATGTAAGAAGTAGAAAGTACAGGTATTTGTGTTCAACATGTAAGAAGTAGAAAGTACAGGTATTTGGGTTCAACATGTGAGAAGTAGAAAGTACAGGTATTTGAGTTCAACATGTGAGAAGTAGAAAGTACAGGTATTTGGGTTCAACATGTAAGAAGTAGAAAGTACAGGTATTTGTGTTCAACATGTAAGAAGTAGAAAGTACAGGTATTTGTGTTCAACATGTAAGAAGTAGAAAGTACAGGTATTTGTGTTCAACATGTAAGAAGTAGAAAGTACAGGTATTTGGGTTCAACATGTAAGAAGTAGAAAGTACAGGTATTTGTGTTCAACATGTGAGAAGTAGAAAGTACAGGTATTTGGGTTCAACATGTGAGAAGTAGAAAGTACAGGTATTTGGGTTCAACATGTGAGAAGTAGAAAGTACAGGTAGTTGTTTCAACATGTAAGAAGTCAAAGTAAAAAGTCGTCAGAAAAATAAGTAGTGGAGTAAAGTACTGATACCAGAAAGAGATACTTAAGTACAGCTGCTAGTTATGGGTACTTTTGACAGTACAAGTACATTTCAAAGCCCATAGTTCTATACTTTTACTTGAGTAAAGAAGTTTAGTCAGTACTTCTACCTTCACCAGAGTATTTTTAAACACGAGTATCTGTACTTCTACTTGAATGAAGGATGTGTGTACTTGTACCAGCCCGTTCTTGAGGATTAAACTACAGAATAAACGGTGATTTCAGAGCGTTCAGAAGTAAAACCTCGGCCCCTTCTTTCAGAGCGACACAGAGAAACTGAAGGGTCTCCCGGTGAGTCCGTTCATGGACAGAGAGAAAGTTTCCAAACCGTCGTCTCAGACCAGCTTCATCGGCTTCGTGCTGCTGCCGCTGTTCTCCGAGCTCACCAAGCTCTTCCCCTGCCTGCAGGTGAGGAAGGACACTGAGAGGTCAGGAGCCACTCAGGGTCTGCTTTCTATCTCAACTAAAACCACTATTTAGAAACCAGACCCTGAATGTTCTGAGCAGGACCGGTGAACTCATGCTGGCTATTTCTTGTCGTTGTAAAAGTTATTTGTTTTTGGTTGTTTTGTACAAAGAAATGATTTGTTTAAAACATATCACGGATGACGATGAGCTACTTTTATTTTCATGAACAATGCACGCTAGAGGACCAGAAAGGTTTTTAAGCTTCTTCTCTTTGCCCCTTTTGAACATGACGGGAACTATTTGAGAATTGAGTTTGTATTTTTTTATACCTTCGCTTTGATATAATTATTATTATTGTTATTGTTTGTGCAGCAACATATCGTGGAGCCGGTGCAACAGGCGCTGAAATATTACTCTGACCTGGAGAGAGCCGGCAGAGAGGAGACGAGCAGAGAGGAGACGAGCAGAGAGTGAGGAAGAGGAGGAGACGAGCAGAGAGTGAGGAAGAGGAGGAATAAGTAAATTATTTCAGTGTGTTAATATTAGTGGTCCCAGGAGGTCAGCTGACAGACCCTCATGTTTTAGAAAACCCTCTCTAAGGGAAGTTTGTAGTTTTATTTAATGCGTGTGATTTGAGCAGAAACTTCTCCCACTAAAGAAGACTTGGTTTGTTTCTCACGGACTCATCGAAGGGTAGAAACATGAAATCATAGGTATTGAAGATATTGTATTTCAACAGTATTTCTTTGGACTATTAAAGTGTTAAATTCACAAGAAACTAATCTCACAAAACTGAATTTAAAATCACAATTTAGTCAAAGAATGGCGTCGCTTAACTTATCATGTATAGTTAGTTTAAGCTACCAGAAGCCCTCGTGCATGTGATGATGATTTAACGACATGATGAGTGGTTTTAATGAAAGGACCGAGTGCTTGTTGAACAGATCAAATGCATTCCTGTAAACATTGTAAACATTGAAATAAAGACGCAGCCCACGATGATCCACCGTCTGGAGGTTTATTTTTCAATCACTTCGTTTACAAATTCAAAAGAAAAAGTGCAGTAATGCGTCTGATAAATATGTAGAGTTAAAAACAACCAATACCCAGGGCTGTTTCAAATACAATAAAGAAATGCTCACAATAAATCTGTAGTATATACAACAGCTCTTCCTTTCAGTACATTCTGCTCGGCCCCACGGAGCGTTCACTACCACGAACACCACGACACAGCAGGGACGCAAACACTACTTTTTATGTGCAATCTTGATATTCTTAAGAGCTGGAAATGTTCAGGTTCTCCAGACCTGCCTGATGAGCAGCATTTATAACGCTGGAGAGGACGAGGAGTGACGTACAGGTGTTTAAGCCAATCAGATTACAGCTTTTAACCAACCTTAAAAATGATTTTAACGGTTTACTTTCCGACATGCCGTCTGATCCGTGAAAACTACTAGGAACTAGACGGAAAAGGAATCTGGATGCAAGCAATCAGACCTTCCTCTCCCATTACTGACTATTATTGAACATGTGGTTATAAGAAAACAATAAGGGAACCTTTTGACACAGTTATCACACTGAAGAGTCAAGCGAGCAGCGTTAATATAAATATGGCACAGAAATAATAATCACAAAGTGCAGCAGCCCCCCCACTTCTAAATAAACTCAGTAGTAGTTCATGAGATAATATCAGGGTTTAGTTTGTTATTTCTCACACGTGGTCCCATTTTTATATATTTTAAAGAGTACCATTTTATGGCAAAACACACGGAGGATTCCTACAAAATGTCCCCCGTTTTTCCATCACTTTATTCGATGCTTCTGGAGACATCAGTCCTCTGGTGTGCTGAACACTGGCACATCGAACACTATCCTTCAAGGTGTGTTTCTAAGCTTTAATCATTTTAGTTTGGGTTATTTTGTACCAGAACACGTCAGGAAACAACACATTAATAGCTTTTCTTGGAGCTTGGCACTCTGGATTTGAGCACGTCTCAGCGCTGATGGCAACACGAGGAAGCGAGCTCTGGATCCTCTCGGGCTGTGAGAGGTGTTTCTGGGTTTGGGACTTGCCTGTCAGGAGGGACTCTTCACAGGTTGGAGATACAGTAGCGTCGCACGGCTTCACCTATGTACACCGTCAGGGGGAGGAGGGCAGCTGCTAATTGAACATGATGGACTCTGGGTCCTGGTTCATCATCTGGGCCATGTGGCGCAGGACGTCCTTCTTGGTGATGATGCCCAGGAGACGCCTGAACACAAAGGGAACAAGGTCAGAGGAAGAAAAGACCTTTCTGGTTATGATGCCCTTGCAGCAGTGTTGTTGTTGTTGTTGTTGACTCAGCTGTTGGGAGGATATTAAGTTTTTTTTTTACATACATTCAACAAGACATTACAAACAGTAAATAAAGACAAAGGAAAGAAATACATTTTGATACTTCAGATTAAATATTTCTTAAATATCAAATTAGTTTTGATTGCCTTCTTATTCCTAATGTTTTTAATAGTGCCAATACTTTGTACATTCTTGATAGAAATGTACAAAGTTTAATAAGAATGGCGGACTCCTCTAGATACTTTGCACCGTGCTTTTTTTAGTTTTTAAACGTATTCTTTATTAGTTATTTTCTCACATTCCCCTTTACATCCATTAGTACTCCAATTTAGAGGAACAGTTCCTTTAACAAGGGGTCGTGCACCGTGCTCTGATGGTGTGGTGTTCTGCTCCATGAACAACAGTGAAACATACATTCATTATTAGCCTGGAATTGAAAGAAAAAGGTCTAACCCGCTCCGGGTGACGAGACACTGGCGGAGGCCCAGCTTGCGGAAGATGTCCACCACGGTCTCCATGGGCGTGTGGTCGGTGACGGTGAAGGGGCTGAGGTTCAGGACGCGCCGCAGCTTCAGAGGCTGAGGGTTGCTGAGCGGCGTCTGGGGACCGTCTTCAGTGAAGTAAACCACGGAGCTGCTCACCACGCCGTCCTGCTTCTGACGGGCGTTTTCTACAGAGGAACAAAGAGAGGAACATCGTGATGAACACGAGTCTGACCCCGTTTCCTGATGCCGTCCAGAGAGTACCTTACCAATGATAAAGACCTACAGAAGGTGAGACACGACAGGACTGCACTAGAAAACATCTTAAAAGCACAGTAAGGCTTCGTCAGTTTGTGTCTGAGGATTTCTTCTACATTCACCAATCGTTAGCATCACATAATGCCTCATCTGCATATTAAAACACTTCATTTCAGATATCAAACTGGGGGGTTTCTGGGTATCATTCTGTCCCCTTTCACAGACTTACTGATGGCGAGGGTGAGGTCTCGGCGCTGCACGAAGCCGATGAGCCTCTCAGATTCGCGGGACACCACCACAGGGAAGCCGTTGTAGTCGGTGTCTTTGATGAGCGTCTCCACATCCTCCACGGTGGTGCTGTCCTGCGTGAGCACGGCCAGGGGGGGGTCGTTCCTGCGGGGCCGCATCACGTCCGTGGCCAGCGTGCGGTGAGTGAACTCGTCCCTCACGTCCAGGTACGGGTATCCGTTCAGCTGGATGTGAGACTCGTAGATCCCTTCCTTCCCGAAGGCGTCCGCCACCCATTTGCTGGTGACGGCGGCGGCCATGAGGGGCACGATGTACTCCAGACCCCCGGTGAGCTCGAACATGATGACCACCAGGGAGACCGTCATCCTGGTGACCCCCCCTGGAGGAACGCAACCACTTTATTACAGCTTCATTTATTTAGACAATCGGCACAAACAATGGTTTTTTAATGGCCTGCGTGTGTTCTCACCCAGGCAGGCGGCGGCCCCCACCATGGCGTAGAGCCCCGGGGTGACGCAGTCCGCTCCGGGCCGGCACCAGTTCTTGAAGATGATCCAGTCGTGGTGGTGGTACGCCATCTGCTCCACGGCGATCCCCACGATCCGTCCTGCTATGGCGCCGACCGCCATGCTGGGAATGAACAGACCCGAGGGGATCTGGAGGGGACGAAGAACCGCAGAGAGGCCGTCAGAATCCAAGCAAGGGCTACAAAATGTGGTTTCTGTGTTTGTTTATATCAGGGGGTAAAGTCAAATAGTATAATGAAATCTACCCTTTCTATTTCCTCTTTTTATAATCAATCTGAAGTTTCTGTTTTGAGGAATGAGCTGCTAACTAAATAAAGGAAACCCTCTGGAGAGCTGAGGTTGTTTTGTTTCTTAAAGCGTTTTCAAGTGAAGCTTAATTGACCTACATTTGATTGATTTTGCTAACTTATAACTTCACTTATGAGGTGGCAATAAACCTCACCTCTAGTGAGCGGCCCAGCCCTTCGTATTTCTTTTTGTATGTGGCCCTCGGAGAAAAAGTTTGGACACTCCCTACAGTAGTTTATATCGTCATATTTCTAGTCATTTTCTGTCACTAGGGGGTCAGCAGACATCCCATCGCTAAGATCCTTCATCAGGTTCAAATATGGAGTTAAAAAACATCAAAATGATAAATATGTGGTTTAAAACTGGAAACAAATAACATTCATGTCAAGTTTATGGCAGACAACACAGAGGGGATGGACACCATGACAGGAGATCAGACGCACCTTGACCTTCATTACAATGACCCATTCCTCTGAAACTAAACAACTCTACGTGTGCGTGTGTACTGGACATCTTCAAGTCTTCATTCAAAACTCACCTGTTCACCATGACCTTTGACCCCTAACCCATCACAGTCCCCTGCTTCCACTCCCTTGAAAGGCGCTATACAAATGTAATCTATTATTATTATTACACATATGAATAAGGAAGAACTATTGCACTATTTCTATTCTATTTTATTTGTATTTACTTGCACTATCAGTTGTATTGTGTAGCACTGTGGGAGGAGCCTGTGACCTCAGGTTGTCATGATATATCTGCACTGTAGCTACTGTATGAACACATGACAATAAAAGCCTTGCATCTTGAAATACACATTTAAAAAGGTTAGAAAGTAATATCTCCTCGTCAAACCCGATGTGTTGCTCATCTCCCTCGCACTGACCTTCATGCCGAAGGTGAAGATGGTGATGACGATCTTGAAGACGAGTGCGAGGGCGAGCTGCCACAGCGCGGTGTAGACTCCGGGGCCCGCCGGCCGGTCGGGGATGTCGTCCACAGGCCGGCTCATGTTGGGGTTGTTGATGTAGTCGCAGAGCTGCGAGGACTCCAGCGCGCCGCAGTCGTTGAACAGCTCTGAGATCAGTTCGCTGGTGCTGCGCCGGGTGTACGGGTTGGGGAACGCCAGCAGAGCCGTGATCCCCGTCACAGCGATCACCTCCAGCACCGGGTACTTCCCCAGCTGCGTGGTCTTCCTGCGGCGGCACCAGGCGATGTTGGCGCGGATGAACAGCGTCCCCCAGAGACCCCCGAACACCCCCAACAGGATGAAGGGCACCAGCTCGGCCATGTACCACGGCGTGTGGTACTCCACGTAGAAGAGCACCAGGCGGCTGTTGCCAAACGGGTTGATGGCGCGCAGCGTGAAGGCGGCCACCAGGGCGGCGAAGAACGAGCGCCACAGCGTCTTCAGAGGGAAGTAGTAACTGACCTGCAGGAGACAGGGGTCATCAGAGGAATATATTAGGGGTCTCAGATATATACAAATATATAAAAAACATGTCTATGATGGTTTTTGCTCAAAATACCAAACAGACCATGCATCTTAGACATCTGAGTGTTAGCGATGCTAGCTAATGTAAACACAGCTTGGCACAGGAGGCAGGTTCGGTGTGAAGCAGGGGAACTTAACGAACCTCTTCCAGGCTGAACAGAACTCCTCCGATGGGCGCTCCGAAGGCCACCGACACTCCGGCTGCTGCTGCTGCTGACAACACCTGAAGGCAGAGGTCAGTCAGGGTCAGGACATTAGTGTCAAAATGCATAAATCTCTAATGTTTGCATTTATAAACTCTGAATGCATCTGTTGACCCGAGTCATTCTCTGGGTGTTTCCTTTCAGCTTGACTCTGATCAGCGTACC